CTCCCTTCTCCCCACCATCGGTGGCTCCACCCCTGCCTAGACCTAACGCCTGTGGCTGAGGCATTAGGCCTTGGCAGGGGACCCCCAGCTCCCTGAGATTGCCAGCTCCGCTCCTACTCCCCACCATCACTGGCTCTGCCACTGCCCAGGCCTAATGCCTGTGGCTGAGGCGTTAGGCCTGGGCAAGGGACCCCCAGCTCCCCACGATCCCTGACTCCACCCCTGCTCCCCGCCATCGCTGGCTGCACCCCAGCCTAGGACTAACTCCTCAAGGCATTAGGCCTGGGCAGGGGACCCCCAGCTCCCTGTGATTGCCAGCTCCACTCCCACTCCCCACCATCACTGGCTCCGCCACTGCCCAGGCCTAATGCCTGTGGCCGAGGCGTTAGGCCTGGGCAAGGGACCCCCAGCTCCCCACGATCCCTGACTCCACCCCTGCTCCCCGCCATCGCTGGCTGCACCCCAGCCTAGGACTAACTCCTCAAGGCATTAGGCCTGGGCAGGGGACCTCTCAGCTCTGATTGCAGGCTCTGATCGCTGCTGGGCACCTGCATATGCAAATTAACTGCCATCTTTGTTTGGTTAATTTGCATACTCATCCTATTGGCTGGTGGGTGTAGCAAAGGTACGGTCAATTTTCATGTTTGTCTATTTTTAGGTAAGATATTAATTAATGCAATTACATAAATAGTTTAGGTGAAATAAGCAAACCTATTTCCCCTAAAAAATAACCTAAGTGGTAAGAAAATGTGTGGTTTTCTGCCAATAATCATTCATCCACTAATCTGATATATGCCCCAAATTAGACTCCAGATACAAATCAGTAGCAATGATTTACCTGTATTACATTAAAGGCAAACTTATCTCCTCTTCTTTATTTATTTTAAATTTTATTTTCTTGTTTAAAGTATTACAAGTAGTAGCACATATGTCTCCTTTTTTTCCCCATTGACCTTCCCCCGGCCTCCCCTACCCCCCAGCACATGCCTTTACCCCACCACCCCAGTGTCTTGTGTCCATTGGTTATGCTTATAAGCATCCATTGATCTCTTACCCCTCCCCCACACTCCCCAGCCTTCCTGCTGTAAGTT